AGCTCGGCTCTCTCATGTGTTGTTATGGAATGCGAAGCATGATCAATTGTCCGCTAGCTTGCCTATATTAATAGAAGTAACTCATCGCTCTCTTCTTTAGAATGAGTTACTCGTCATAGGACGCAGCCATTCATGTTATCTTTTATTTTGTTGCTTAAACTTCTCTATAGCTCTACTGTGTATCTGCACTTCGTGACTTTTCAGATCATATAATCATACACAACCCTGAGTCTCTCCTCACGTCGAAAGAAGACGCAATACTTGGGCAGAACACACATGCTGCAGAGGTTATGCCACCCGGCGAAGAAACACTGGCGGGGCCTCTCACTAGCCCGTTACCTAAATTGGCAGAAACAAAAATCAATTTCTTGCATAGCTCCTCCCTTCATTTGATTGTCGTCCCCAACGTTACCCTTGATCAACCTCCTCCGTGGACTACTACAACCTAGTCGCTGCCGTAAAAACACTTATGAGCCACCGCTCAAGCTGTCGAATTTGCATGCAACTAGGAGGGCATCTAACTGCATCATCACTGATCCACCTCGGAAATCCCAGCAAACCCAGAGTTTCGTCCTGTTTGGAAACTGTATTGGGGGAAAGGATGAGTTAGTTCGCAAGTCATTAAATATGTCCATTGGTAGTCATAAGGACATTGGCCTAAGAGGAGTCATTTAAAAATGGGCTTTTGTGTATATTCCGTCTTTCTGCTTTGTTCTCATTTTAGCGCTTCCCAGCAATATCTACCTAAGTTCTATCTGGTTCGCAGAGAGTTGAAGGAGGTATCAAGTGTTCATTTATTTGACATCTCTGTACAGGTGCCGTAGACAAATCCGAAACAAGCATTCCAGGTAGTTAACGGCTAGTGCCACTTCATTTCTGAATAGCACTCCCATGGAACGGGGGACCGGGGTAATTACCGAAGGTTGAAGTTATTTCTAGACTCGCTGCAGGTTGTCGTAGATCCTCTTGTCCACAGGATGGGGTCTTCTTCTGCCACATCGAGGTTTAGCGCTCGTAACAGAAATCAGAAGAGCTGTCCTTTATGATTGAATTCGCCGTGCGCTGCCAGCCATGCACCGCCCCTAGTCTTTTTAGAAGACGAAAAAGCCCTTACCAAGTTAGAATATGCATTGCCGAAGTAGAGAAGGGACTAGAAGGCTTCTAACATGCACTGGAGGCTATGCCGGTCGGTGGAAGTGCGAGGGCGGGACCTTAGGTGCCTCGGTAACAGAAACATTGCAATCATGGGGGAAAGTGCCGACGCTAGATTCTTTAGCTTATGTTCATGACTACTCTGATTACATACTGCAATGTGATCCAGTAAATCGTGTATTAACCACTTGATAGTTTCTGTTGCATTTTTCCAAACAAGGTGGGATGCGCTTGTATTCTAAGTGCGCATGGCGATATGGAAAAATATTATTAAATCCTAACAGGTTGTATGCAGTTAGTTCTCAATTTGGAGTTTTTATATTGACATTTGTAGATGGATAAATAGATATTACCATGATAGAACTCAAATAGATTTGAAGTACCACTAGGCTCTTATTTGAGGTCGGAGATTTTTTGGCAGAATAAGGGCGGTAGTTTTTCGTTGGAAGCCAATGTTCCAAAAGTTGCTGAATTTTTTTCAAAACCGGCAGAAAAGGCTTTCAGCAATATTCTCTTGTTGCTCAATGCTGGATTTTATTTTGGGCGTGGGCTACTTACGCTGAACACGCAATAACTAAATCTAAAGAAAATGGATGTACAAACACTATTGTAATAAAAAAAATTTATGACATGTACTTTAAATAGTCTATTTTTAACTTGTAACTTAGCCTTGACAATAGCCTTTGTTCAGCTAAACACTTTGGCCGCCGCCGTATAGCCTTAATGCACACTGATTCGTTAACGAGTATCTGAAAAACGATTGGCTTATTGATATGATCCGTGGTTTTCCTGTAAGGGCTAAGATGGTATCTTTGGTAGTCACGTCGTTACGGATGGTTGGTTCTAGTTAGTCTACGTTCTAGCCATTTTTTCATAACTTTATCGCATAATGACAATAGTCGAAAACCAGAGTGACGATGGGTCAGTTTTTATCATCCTTGGTGTTTGTGCAATGGCGAAGAAAACGAAATCAAAGCCGATGAAGGAGATTCTTCGTCGTTTAGAGAAATTTCAGTATATCAAAGTGATTGTCTTCGAGGAAAAAGTTATTTTAAGGCAACCAATAGAAGCGTGGCCCCTGTGCGATGCCTTGATTAGCTTCTACTCCGACGGATTTCCCCTCCAGAAAGCAATTGCTTACGCCGAGTTAAGAAGGCCTTATTTGGTGAATGACCTAAAAGCTCAATACGTATTGATGGACAGAAAAAAGGTTTACGAGTGCTTACAAATGGAGGGCATCCCAGTCCCACGTTACGCTTGTGTTGAAAGAGGGGACCCTAGCAATCACGTCAATGTTATCGAACACGATGACGCTATTGAAGTGAGTGTGCATTTAGATTCCAGTTTTACATCCAACTGGTCGGAATACTGTAGGACCTATTTGAACCGGGAATATTTTTTATGTTCTTTTCTTGTTTTCAGATAGATGGTGAGATATTTCACAAACCATTTGTTGAAAAACCTTTGAATGCCGAGGATCACAACATATACATCTACTTTCCAAGCAGTGCAGGGGGTGGTAGTCAGCGTCTTTTCCGCAAAGTCGGCGATCGAAGCAGTAAATACTTCCAAATCAGTACAATCCGTACGGAAGGATCTTATCTCTATGAGGAATTTATGCCAACTGACGGTACTGATGTCAAAGTAAGCTGTTTAGTAACATCCAAACTAAACGTTTCGATATATTTAAAGATTCCTTTGTTTTTTGTGCAAGGCTTTGATTAGTCGCGATTCACAAACGTGTAAATTTCTGTGTTCTGGGCGAAATAATATTTTTGGTGTCGTGCATACACAAATACGGTTGAGGCATGATGCACGTTTGTATGAATGTCGCCTCATTTTGCAAAAGCAGTTGCTGTAAAACTTACTTTGGAGTCGAGTTCACTCTTTTTTCACTGCATAATTTTTGGCGAGCTTTTTGAAGGATTGTCTTTGGAAAGCCTCTATTATCAACATAACCCACGGGCCAAAGTTCAACTTTGTTGCACCTGTACAAACTAGTTGAGGCTGTCAAACAGAATGTGCCTTTGTTTGGGTATTCGTTACAAAAGGATTTCGGAATAGCTAAGACAGCTCGAGTAAGGAATTAGAGGTGTACCTTTAATTGTACTTGTTGAAATATAGGAGTGATATTTGTGTCTTGGAGCATTGGTATTTCACACTTTTCGAAAGGATCTAAAGGATCACCATTCCTATCCCTACGCGGAGCCAAATGAACACCAACTTCCACAGAATTTGTGACCATTTTTTACAGTGATTATGGCATTATCATCCACGTCTGTATGCTGCTCTGTATATTTCCAAGCTTACCTGATAAATCTAGAATACGGTCGATGCATTTACTGCTTCAATGCATCTAGATTTAGAGTTGATGATTGTTCCAAGCCGATATCCAATGGGGTGAATGTAGCCCTAAAGAGAAAAAGGCTCGAACGTTGTGCTACGCTGAGACTAGCCTTTTTATGCATGCGTATTACCGCGTGAATACGGAATGTCTTCTTGATCACACTTAATAGCTAATTTGAAAAGTGGTGAAAGGCGCTACTTTAAAGCAACGCACTGCTAGCTTTTGTTCTGAGTATAACATATTTGTGAACAGCACAAACGTTTGTGATTATCAAACGGCAAATTTTGTGAGAAACTCATTTTGAACGTTTAAGGCTGGCTAAATGTAAATTCAACTTCTAAACGATTATTTCATCCTCGCCTGTTTCGATGCTCATATTTGTAGGGACTCCGCCCATTTGACAAAAGAAAGACGCAATGCCTCGATCGAGTAGTACCGTATCGATATGTTTTCAAACCTCATTTTTTGGTGATACATTCAGTTGGCTATGATTATGTTCTGCTGATCTGTTTCCATAATGCTGCCAAAACCTCACTGCAAAGGTTTGAAATGGATATCCCTTTACGGATGTATTACTACTCATCCACTGCAATCAAAGTTCCATAATGAGATCATTTGTTCATACAGCAAAAAAAAATAATTTTACTTTATTATTTTTGTGCATCGCTGCTTATAATGAACCAGTGGTCCTATGCACGAATACACTGCATATACATAATGTATATTGTCTTAGCCTTTTCGTGAATGTTTTCGTTCATGTGTAATACTACTTACTTTTGTACGCTGCTTGCTCCTGAACATGTTTTACGGCTGTGAATAGCTTTATTATAGATGCATATGCCTAGTTTGCTGTGAACAACAGTATGGGGCTGTATAATTGCAATCAATGGCTGTTTAAACCCGGTTTATGCTGATTGTATACGAAAGTACAAAGTCCTAGGTTTTGAGCTTGGTAACCTTCCCAGTGTCTGAGTGCGGGGTATCTTTGCTCCTAGGATCTTTGCAGAAAAGGTGTTTGTAACTTTAAAATAGAGGTTTTAACTTTGCCTCATTTCCAAGATCTTGGGAAACATTTAGGCTGATAAATGGATGGACAGGGGTTCAAATCAATTTTTAAACATAGAAGATTTGCTGGTATTTAGGAATGATCAATTTCATCGTCTGTGTCAGGTATGAAGTTCCCATACTGGAGCTGAAAGTTAACTAGAGGTCTACCATGTTTTCCACTCTTAGAACATCCTATAAAGTGATCTGTTGGGGAGAAGTTGCTTAAATTTGGGTGCCCTCTCAATCATACTTCAAACTTTGCAGTCGAGAGGTTCAGCTCGGTGAGAAAAGGGACTATGGTGTAATGCGATCATACAAGTTTTTTAGTCATGTTATTTTGTTCCAGTTCTGTAATAGAAGCGACAGATTTTAACACTAATGAAAGATTCTTCGTTGCATGACGTTTATAGTTAGGGAGGTAGCTAATTACCTCTTTTACTAGACTCAAAGTTCCCATGGTGTTGGTAAAAGGGGGATAATGTTTACGGCAAATATGAACCAATAGCTGTCGCACTCTTTGAACATTAATGCAAGGGGAGGGATAATTGAAGCTCTAATTTAGTCATTGCTATTATTACTGATGGATCTGTGCTTGATTTGGAGCTTCTATATTAAGATTGAAAAGCTTATACTGCAAATATATTGTTAGGAAATAGGAGTTGCCTAAGTTCTTCTGAGCTAGATTAGATGATGATCAGTTGATACCTATTGCGGAATGTGACCACGTTTTTTGAAGGAGACACTAGTCAGGTCCAAAATTTCAGTGAGGTAGTACAGTTGAAGTTCAGGTTTCTTATGTGGAATAAATGAGAATGCACAAATGCTAATGCCGTTTTCGGTAGGTGTACACCGTGGCCGATGACTACGCACATGCTGAGGCTCGCAAATCGCCCGCCCTCGACGGTAAAGTGGAGCGAGACAGCGAAGGCAAGGAGATTCGTTATCCTGTGATCCTTACGCCGCGTGAGAAGATTATCGCTAAGAAGGTGGCCAAGGTAGTAAAGCAGCAGATCTGCGGCTTTGATCTCCTCCGCGCCAACGGCATGTCCTACGTCTGTGATGTCAACGGTTTTTCCTTTGTGAAGACATCGCGCAAGTATTACGACGACTGCAGCCACGTCCTCGGAGTCCTCATCACTCGTGTGATTGCGCCACGTCTTTGTCCACCGGGTTTAGGACCTTGGAACACTCCTGGCCCAGACGACGATATTCCACTCGTCCCCACGACCTGTGGAACCATCATGGAGTTGCGTTGTGTCATCGCGGTCTTCCGACATGGTGACCGGACGCCAAAACAGAAGATGAAGATGGATGTGAGGGATGATCGGTTTTTTAAACTCTTCAACAAGTATTCTGGAGGAAGGACACTGGAATTGAAATTGAAAAAACCAACACAGTTGCAGGAGGTGCTTGATATTGTGCGAAATATTCTCGAGGACATAGAGAGTGGGAAGCTGAAGAACTCTGAACTGGAAGAGAAGAAGGCCAAGTTTGAGCAACTCAGGTAAATGCTCCTGTGCTTAAATTATTTTCATCCCAAAAGGCAGAAAGACTGCATTAGTAAATTGCATGATGCTAACCACTTTTAATCAACTAATGACCCGAGTTTAGGATAGTGGCTCAAAGTTGGCGTAATTTTGATAGACTTCTGTGATTCATTCAATCACGGCATTTAACTCCCTTCTGTAACGTTTAAGTGTAAAACCCAGTTAATAATACCGCAATTGTTGGTCTTTAGGAGTGAGTTTGTTTACCTCTGTTATCACTAGTTCCCTAGCCTCCCCGAAGACGTTATGGTTGCACTCCTATAGCTAATGCACAGAGGTCTGTACAACATTAGCATAGATTTACACCACCAGTATCGTAGACCAATCATCGGTGCTAGAGATGCTCATCGGGTACAGACTAGGCGCTCTGAAGAGCTCCCTCTACCGTTTTGAAATCATCCCACTTTTATTGCTACTCAAACATATCAGACATCGCCATTACTATTCCCTCATGTGTTAAACTTATAATAGTTAAAATAATGTGTTCTACTGCATACAGAGTAAAATTAGTCTGTGATTAAAGTACAATTGTACATTTGACTATACGCCCAGTCTGGGAAGGCTTACGTTATAGGCAGTTAGGTGCTCAAATGCTGGACATCAAAATTAAGGTGGATTGGAATTTAAGTGACTTGGTAGTTTTTTTTATAGAATTTTCCGAGCTAGAAACCGTCTCATGGTGCTAAAAGTTGCACATTATTGTAGTTATCTGGCACACATATCATACCGGTTTGCATGAAGTAGCTTTATGATCGTACTTAGATGGTTAAACCTCTTCAACTTTTCACCTTTTTAATACAAGATCAAATGAATTTAATTTGGCATTATTTTGCGGATAAACTATTGCATATTCGGTGCCAATCTACACGTGGCAGTTTTGCCATCGCCATTGCAATCTATCATCAAAGGTTGTCGACACTTCCACCTTCTTAGCACATCTTGTCTTTGGAAGCTGCACTAAGGTCTAACCCTAGATATTTACATTTTGATCTCTCATTTTCCAACCATTCCCCATGTGGTTGCCCAATGGGAAGGAAGGTCGATTATAACTCGGGGAAGTGTAATGGAAATTTAGAGGAGAAGAAGATCAGGGGTGGTTTTGCCTTACCACCCTTAAGCGTGTATTTCATGGATACATTTTTGCAGTCCTATAGTGCATGCCATCACGATTTATAGTCTTGGTCGTTCTCCAAGAAGGAATTTTTCTTGCCTGCCTTTCGAGTTGTGTATCTCATTGTCTTGCTGTTTAGTCTTCAGCAAGAGAATAAATCTTGCTGAATAATTGCATCTACAGTGCATCACACACGCACGCAAAGCAATCTGTCTTGTGAGATTCATGTGGTAGGTGTCTCTGGAGTGTGGGATCGGTCATGCGTGAATCGTTTGAGAGTAACTAACGCTATTTTCTCTTGCTGGAAAACTAAAGCCGTTTCCCACCACAAGTCAGTCAGTGGGCAAACAATCTGTCCACGGCTTCTTTTAGGACGTTTAGAAAGGAAGTAAAAAAAAGGCCGATGGTCTTTCCGGCTTATTTGTCACCTGGTACTTCATGTTAATGAGACTCAATTGTGTCCATCAGCCTTCACGACTTTCCTTTCCTACTTGATATAGGCCTAACAAAATGTTTCATTGCTCGCATGATTCGCTACCGAATTTTGCTGCCATTAACATCACATTATTCTTCATTCGTATCAAAAATAGATTTTTTCTCCTTGATGTGACCTACTCGTCTCGAATGACAGCACGCTTTGCTGCCGAGATAAAAGAAATTTGACGAGACTCGGCTTCTTTGAAAATGGGTTTGGGGAACATTGATAGATCGTCAATCAGCTATGCTTGATAATGCTTTATTACTTATAAATCCAGCTTTTTAAAATCAGGTTTGGATGTACTATTTGCAGTCCCATACACTTCTGTAATGTACAGATTCGTTGAGTGAACTTTCAAGAACTGCAGCTTTATTTGGGTAGTGTTAATGTAAATTAGTGGGTTTACCTGGGTCTGCGTTTCTGGATTAACTCGCTCACATGCTGGGCACAACATCTACCGACTTGTGTCTTCCCTTCACCTATTTAGATACGTCTTGGAGATGTACGGCTCCTTCAGTGGCATCAATCGCAAGATTCAGCTCAAGTATCAACCCAATGGACGTCAGAGTGATACAGGCAAAAAGAAGGATGGCAGTAAGGGATGAATTTGGTTTTGTCTTTCTTTTCTACCTTCACGTTTAAAACTTTTAATCCTTCAAAGTCCAGCGCACTTCTAGTCGTGCTCTCTTTACTTGCCCTTTCTGGTACAGAATATGTAGGGTCGGTCGTTACAGGGACGTTCAATTAGTTCATTTTATGCAAAATGTCACACTTTCTCTGGTAATGTGTTTGAGTGTCGTTGTCTCTCGATCTCATGAGTCGTTCAAACTTAGCAGGTTTACTATTAGACGTTGAGGTCAAGTTGTATAAGACTAAATGACGTTCTACAGCAAATATTTGGACATATGCAAGGTTTTCAATAGAATGTAAACATTTGGCGAATCCAAGATGATTAATCTTAATTTTGTTCCCTCCTTTACCCTTTTTAGTCAAGCACCCATTTGGTATTTTCTCTCCAGTCCTTGTGACATGGGGAGGTGTCAGTTTTTAGCCTTCACCCCCACTCCACATTGTAAATAGTTTCTCTATGAACAGCTTTAACTCCGTTCGAGTCCAAACTCACTCAGTAGTATAGAACTGGAAGTTAGATTGACTGCCAAAGCTCGCTTTGAATTTCATGTGCTCTCTACCATGAGTCCCCGCTCCTTCGACCAAACACAATAAAGACTTTTCTTTTGCGGAGTTTTCGCTTGGTAATTAACTAACTCATTCAGATTTAAGGCGCCTTTGATGCATCAGCGAAAGCTACCACCGCGCTGTCACTAACCCTGAAGACGTCATAGGGCAGATGGGTCTTGAAGTGACTGGCAGCCTGTGTGGAGAGCACTAAAGTTAAACAGTATTTATTTTTCAACACAGTCCTTCCTTGCTAATTCTTACAAACCAGCTACGTTAAAGAAAGGTTTTTCAGCACGGCTGAGCTACTTTGGGAAAGTCCGATTCACTTCACCATCGGTGCTGTAATCCGCCCCTTTTTGGCATATGTTCGTGACTAATTGTGTTGCGTACACTGCTTTCGTCTCTTGATTAATTTCACTAAATAAGGATGGAATTGACTGCCGTGCTCTGAGTCAGAGAAGCATCATGACTAGGATCATCACTGACAGATGCACGATCGTTTTTGTAAACACGCACACCCCTTCAAATATCTTACCGCCGAGAGTCCTACCACCTTACTATGGAAATAGCTTTCTGCGGGTCGAGGCTTTATGTCTTCGTGATACAAGCAACTTCGTTAATTGTCACACCCTGTTCTATGCACGCTCGCGCTATCACCGATTAACGGTTTGCGGACTGGCTCATGACATGTGCCATAATGTGGCATTTATCTTCATAACTGTTACATTCACCTCAAACGTAGTAAAACTACAGATAACTCGCGTGTTAGTAGATAAAAGTTACTTGCGCCACCTCATGGGGGTGTGGTTAAAGTATGCATACAACCGTGGCTTGTTGACATGCAACAAACGACTATCAAGCTTAATCACAATTGAGTCACCTGATTTGAGCTCGAGTTTTTTGGCATTTTTAAGCTTAAAACAACTGTTGTCTGCGTGACACATGCATCCACCTCAAATCATGCGTGATAGCAAGGTTTGATTAACACCATTGTTACGACACCAATGTGGATATGTAGGTGGTATCAGTTCGAATTAAGCAAAACCTTGGCCAGTAACTCGACATCAATCAGACTTTCAACGCATCATTTTCTCCAACGGTTCCAGTCATGACGAAACACCGTGCCAAAAGTACATGCGGGTGACCTTTGAACTTGTTTTATGCCCCTGGTACAACTCCCGTAGTGACTTCTTGCGTGCTGCGGTTTATCACCTTTCTATCGGTTTAACAAACAGTGCTTTTCACAAATTATCTTCCTGGTTTGCAGTGCTAGTGGATAGTACAATTTTCGCAATTTCTTTTTTTAGAAATTCTACCGATCATTGTCATCGCGTGTACGACAGATGCGAAGTAGTTTTCAGCTATGTTTTTTTATCGTGAGGCAAATGATCCAGGCGTCTACGAAACAAGCGTTGGTTCCATTTCATATAAATTTCGAAGGGAGATTAGTTGTTTTCTATTTTCGTAAAGATTAAAACTTAAAATATCGCCATTTACCAGGAGTAGTTTATAACTAAAATGTGTCCATCATAGAGTTTGACTGCCCTTTGGTACTAATCGTTTATCCGAGGCTTTGGTGATGTGGCATTGTAGTCACTGAAGACGTCACCTTTTGTAGGCTCTGAGGGAACTTTATCAATATGCATATGGAGGGGCTCGGAGTGAAGCTTCACACTATCGTCATGGAAGCGGATTCGCAGATTAGCTGCAACTCTCGTCTTACTTCGATAGTATAACTCGCCGTCTTGTCTTGAACGCCGTCGGCTGTCGTAGTGGTGTTTTTGTGTATTGGAGTCAAGTTGAGGGCAAAGAACGAAGGTTACCCGATTTTATTTACCATCGCGACAAATGAAGTCCAAAAGTGGACTTTTGACACTTTGATAGAGCTTTTCCATTAGGTCGCACTAGCTAGCCTCATTGTGGCGATTTATTTGCTGATTGTCTCTTGGGCCCGAAATGCATATATAAGCTCCCTGACGGCCCTCCATGTTTTTATTCCCACTGCTCAGTTGTCCTAAGTTCTATCATAGATGCAGAACTTGAAGTTAGGGTAATTACCTGAGATCAGTGGGTGGCTTGACTCCACAGATTCAGATATCATCCACAGTGAATGTCATCCTTGCCCTAGCAATGGTTGAGGCATCAATCGCGCCAATAGCCTTTACGCGTTCACGACACGCAAAGCATTTCGTGACTTTCCTGTTATGCATTAAACTGTCTAGACAATTAATTTGTCATTTTCACCGCATAGCTTTCTATTTCGTCTTTACACGATCGGGGTGAATACAAGCAGTCGAAATACTCAAACTCATGGAGCACCAAATGAGCCACCATTTTTGCCTTTATATCTACCCGACCTGAGCCCATTAGCATCGAGGTATCTAACTAAGTTTCGGGGAAAACACGGTAGCACTAGCGCTTTACCTTTTTATTCCATTAGGGGAAAAATGGTTACCACACTTTAGTCGCTCCGTAATGCATTTAGATGATAGTCTAACAGTACTTTTTTCTCAAACTTGAATGCTACGCTAAAATTCCCAGTTTAGTAAAAAATTTTACATGCTATTTGTCTTCAGTATTCGTCTGAAACATCTGCTGTGCCATAATCATTAATGCATACCAAGCAAAAAAAATAAAATTGTCCCGGAAGAATAACAACGGGACCTCGCCCTGGGAAACGCTTATTACACAGCACTACTTTGGGATGTACCAACATTAACTTACTCTTTTTTTTCTGAAAACGCTTTTATCCAATAACTTAGTTTGAGTTTCTTAACACACCTACCAACAGGTTCTCAGCAGCGAGATCTCATCGGTTGAAGTTTGAAAGCTCAAGTGTTTTGAAGATGGTGTAAAAGTTGGTTTTGTGTTGCAGACAAGAATGGAGCAGACGATAAGAGCTCAGCATCTAGCGCTGCGACAAGCACTACTGCTAATTCCAACACCGAAAAAGGGAGTGGCGAAGTCAGTGGTGTCCTTGAAGGTGGCCAGTCGACCTCCACTGCCACTGGCACTGCAGGTGATAGCGAGCCTTGCATCCTCCTAGTGGTCAAATGGGGCGGTGAGCTCACCGCAGCTGGTCGGCAGCAAGCGGAGCAATTGGGCCGCGCCTTTCGTTGTATCTACCCCGGCGGGGACGGCAATTATGGCAAGAACCCTGGCCTCGGACTTCTTCGACTGCATTCCACCTACCGTCACGATCTGAAAATCTACGCCTCCGACGAAGGTCGTGTCCAAATGACTGCTGCTGCTTTCGCCAAGGGCTTTCTCGCCCTGGAAGGGGAATTGCCCCCTATTCTGGTGCAGATGGTAAAGAGTGCTAATACCAACGGACTGTTGGACAATGACAACGATTGCCATCAGTACCAACAGATGGTGAAAAAGCGGATTAAGAAAGTTATGTCCTACAAAGGCGTATGGGGTGAGGAGCATCGGCAGGCGCTAGCTCCTACGGGAGCTAAATCTCTCCTCAATGCCATGGATTATGTAGGCAATCCGACAGAAGCCTGTGCCAAACTATTTGGCTACGTCCAGCGACTGGCAAACCGCGTCGCAATGCTAACAGCAAATCTACGGGAGCGGGAGAAGATAAACCTCTATCATAATGAGTCCTGGGACTTGTTGCTACGGCGGTGGGGCAAGTTGGTGAAGGACTTCCGTTCCCACAATGGGGATTACGATGTCTCAAAGCTGCCGGACATTTATGATAATATCAAGTATGATATTCAACACAATCCTGGCATTTTAATTGAGTCAGAGATGTTGGATTTCTTCAGCCTGGCACGGGCGCTTGCTGATATTGTCGTTCCGCAGGTAAGGGCCACCTTCTATCTTCCAGTAGACCTATTTATCTTTCGCTTTATCGTTAAAATATGCACAAGTTGCTAAAATGCGGTGAGAAAAAGGATCACGTGATGAATTTTTGTAAACGAAGTTCCCTGATCTAATAGTAGTGCCGTCTGTTAGTGGACTGGATATATTCATACAGTACTTTTGAAGCATTGCCTGGGATTGAAGGCAATTGTATTTTCTGGCTTTAGTTTTCCCACTTTTTGACATTTTGCTGCTGTCTTGGTGTCTATTTGGGTAATGCCTTTATGGACAATTTCGCCTCTTTAAGGACAAGATCTCTCTCTGCTACCGATCACGGGTCGGGACCTAGAAAAATTGATTCGGTTGTCGTGACTCTTTTGTCATAAGTCTCATGTCCATACCATATGTTTCTTTCATTAAATAGTAGATTCATTCAGTCACAAGTCTTCTTTGCGAGTGATATAAGGTGTTGGACATGTCTAACTGCTGCCCTTGAAGAGATAGTGGAGTGTAGAAATCTAGGAGGCTGGACTACTAAGGGTATAAGTAGCCGTTTGTAAATTTGGCCATTTTCCTCTCTGCAGCCTCCTCCACCTTAATTTGAGCCTCATTTGTAGGGCTCCCACTGATTAGTCTTCTACTAAGTATAGAATATTGATGGGCAGTGCTCCAAAGTAAGAAATAGCCCATTTCGTAGATGAATTTGTCTGAAAAGTACAATACCTGTAACAAAAAACGTTATATAGGTCAGTTTTATCATTTTATCGTCATAGATTCCTTCCATTTGTGTACCATCTTTTTTAATTCTGCGTGATTATAAGGCAACTGAAAAAACTCATGTGGGCTGTGGTGTAAAGTCGCTGCAATCAGTGACTTGCTTTAACTTGTAGGCACTTGTAAAATGTGCGCATTGGTTTGCATTGCATCAATCCTAGGTATGGGCAAAAGTCAACCTATCGGTACTGGACTCCCTTTGTGCTCTCTGCTACTTTCACATCATTAACTGTTAGTTAAACTTACCTGATGCGTGTGATTTGAGCCAGTCTGATTGACCCAGTTTGAAAGATGGCACGGAAGCTGGCCTGTCCTAGTCAAATTTGTTTTACAGCGGAATGTATCCTCAATTCTCGTAATGCATTGGGTTAGGGAGGAGAAATTGTCCACTTTTGCTAATAACAAAGAATTGCACTTGAGATTAGCCAGTCGAATAAAAATTTTGCTATGCTTGTATGAGTGAGGAAACAATTGGTTTGCATTTATGTGAATTGGGAGGGAAAAGTCGTGAAATCTATCCACGTGCAGCAGGAGCTAATAACCATAGACTTCAAAAGCAATCATTTTATCCTTCACTTCTTTCACATGTATTATAAAACCCTGTGCTTTTAGGTCGATGAATGACTGACTGACTTGTAGTGATAAACAAGTATGCAATCCTCTCACTACCCACCTCATACTTCCAATGTACGCACCACTTTATCTCCACAGAACTATGCTTGCTTAGTGTGTGCGCATTTGTGTTTACTTGCTGAAGGCGAGAGAACAATCCCAGTTTACATTAATCCACTTAATACAATTTGAGGATGTAAAAGAGGAATTTCTTCTTGAGAAATAACTAGCACTGGTGAATCAGAGGGAGAAAGTTGTCTTCTTACAAGATGATGCGAGATTTCGTAGACTATACTGCCGCGAGATTTATCTATGGCAAGACCTGCATTTTACTTGGAATTGAGAGAAGGAAGGTACTGCCCCAGCCTCATCTTCCATACTGCCCTGTCGATTTACTAAAGACAGCTATTGTTAACAACTCCTCCAGTCGGATAAGCCCCACTTTTAATTGGGTATTACCTAGAGTCAGCTAAACTCGCGAGTGAAGCGTCTCTTCATTTTAATCTTATTTTCTGTCTTTTTTGTTTCTTGCTCTTATAGGAATACGGCATCACGAAGGAGGAGAAGCTAGTGATAAGTCAGCGCATTTGTACGCCTCTTTTGCGTAAAATTCTCTCAGATGCTCGTTACACTGACGTAGACGAATGTACACGTCTACATGCTGGGTGAGTCTCATTTTGCACTTATCTGTCCATTAACGAAACTGTTCATCCATCTATCCATCCTTGATCTGCCCATCCAATGGCACAGAATTTATTCATCCATCGTGGATTCATCTATCCATGGCCTGGTCAATTCACGCAGTTACTTATTCGTTCATCCATCTATCTTCGTGTTCATCCACAAATCCTCATTCCAGTTCTCACTGATCTATGAATTTTTGTAGGATACTATGGATATAATCTACCTATACTAGCTCCCTTCACCCTTGAATTGTATGCTCCTTATGGAATGGTCCATTTGTGCATAGCCGATTCATCTGTCGTCGGACAATATTTTCTTCCATTTTGCTCTGTTTCTTCATCAGTCCTGTACTCATCCATTCACCCTCCGATCAACTTCATTTTATCGTAATGAACACGCAGATTAAGTAAGGAGATATTATAACGGTGTATTCGTGGGAGCTGTCTATGATCAACATTTGACCACTGTCTTATGAATTCATTGATGTATTTTGATTCAGCCAGGCAGGAGGAGTCTCCAGTGTTCATTTACTTTGACAGTTTTTCCAACATTTTTGAGCCGATAATACTCTTTAAAATGAACAGCAAATCACCTCCTTATTTGAAAAGGCTATGTACATTATGTTTTTAGTAATGAGTGCAAAGTTGACAGAAATGTATTTTCGAGGTAAGCTAGCTGTTTAAGGACAAAAGATCGTTCATAGTATCAAGTTTGTACGGTTTATGGTGTAGCGGTCCTTGAGGTGTTATAAAATGTTGGCGTTTTTTTACCCGCGGCAGTCTGACGGTGTCATTCTCTAGTGCTTCTCACTTATTTTGAAGCCTGTCTACTGTGAATTGAGTTTTTAGCTGGCTTTTAAAGATGCTACAGAGACTAGCTCCTCACCACCTTTGTTCCATACCATTTGGAAAGTGTGAGGTACGCGGAAGCAGAAGTTACCACTTTGAAATAGCTCAAACAATTTGATTTTGATTATGAATCATTCAAATATGGATGCATTACAATAAAGAGGAAATACTTGATGTGGAGGCTCCTAGCCAAATGGATGCCTCATACAGAAACAGATGACAATAAACTTGAAGGACTGCCAGTCTGTCCTTTCCTTCCTCTCCTCTCCACTGTAGATTGTTCGCTGACCTACTTTCTGTGATAGGAAGCGGAAATTGCATTGCAACTTTCCCCAGGAAAATGGACATTTTACAGGTCATCTCTACACTTAAAGTATGCACCACATCATCCCCACTGTGCTTTATGCGGTGCACTATGGACAAAATCGTTTTCTTGCTGGAGGTCAAACAACACCGATTTCGGCTTAGATCCGTCTACCCAGCGCCATGTGATACGAGAGGAAGGTGTATAAGGTGATGCAAGACCTTACACCACCCGATTTTAGGTGGGATGGGAGAGGGGAGGATGATACTACTCCAACTTTGTCACCATTCTCCCAATTCCCCTGATACTATTCCTCAAAGTGATGACTTTAAGGAAGCCATCTCTTGGTTTCCATCAAAGAGGGATTTTATGAGTGGGGAATAAGTTTTTGAAAAATCTACTCTTGACCAAGTAGGATGTTTACAAAGGAGACGAGTCCTGTTGCAACTCAAAAGCATGCCTTACGCTAATCTTATGATCTAGGGTTTGACAACCGTCTGCGACATCTAAATATATATCATGTATTGTAAAGTGAGTAGCCACAACGCGTTCCCAGATGACTTTCCGACACCTTGTTTGGCACATTTATCAGTTCTGTATGCACTTGATAGGTGGGCCTACTTATTTCAACTTGAGATTTTTTTGGCTGAGGTCGTATGGCCTTATTTTATATTCACCTCGAGCGATGCAATCCGATCATCTTCGTGCTTGATGGTTAATATGACGGAAAAGACTAGTTCTTTTTCCATTCATGTTAGGTTCCTTTCACCAAATGTCAGACTGAAGCATCACGTGGTTTGGCAGAGTTTCTTTTTCTACCTCTAAATTATCACACATTCACCAAGCTGTCGAATGGAATTGAGGCTTTCAACCCGATGTCCAGGTTACTAATTCGTCATTCCTATAGTAGGAAGGACGGCTGTAGGTTTTTACTCATCCTCATCATCTTTCCCACGCAGCTATTCAAAGGGTGTCGCGTCACCAGAGCGTTTTGTGCGTACCCGGTTGTACTTTACGAGCGAGAGTCACCTTCATTCCATCCTGACGTGTCTGGAGCACGGCGGTCTGGCAGATGCGGCCACGGATGAGCAGTGGAAGCGAGCGATGGACTATGTGAGCACTGTACCTGAGCTCAACTACCTCTCCCAAGTAGTCATTATGATCTACGAGGATCCTACTGTGGTCAGTACAACGTTGATACTACTTTTTTAACCTTTTTTATCTTCCAAGTTGTGGAGTTGATAATACACAGTCTAAGAATTAGTTATGCAATTTAATATCCACCCTTTTTCACACCTGTAATAAAGGGTAACCAAGACGAATTCACGTCATCGCATTATTTGTTTATACATCCCGACGAAATCTGCTAGCTCACTGTTTTCACTCGTATTCGCATTCGACGTTTTAAGATTGACTTCAGCACTTCTCATTCCTCCTGCTGTTAATCTGAACAGCAGCTAATTGGAAGGACTCGCGTGCGGAACAATATAAAACGTGGGACTTCTGTATCAACTGTTGACTGAGAAAAGACAGCACTGTTATTTCAGCGTTCGTGTTGTCTCTAAATCCGACATAAGGGGCAGGCCTCTGGTGGTAGCTTTACCATAAGTCTTCAGGACGGCGAGAGTATTCTCATAAGTGTAGTGTTGATGGTGTATGTAAGGCTATGAAACAACGTTGCGGAGGGCGAATCACCTCGAGAGGCTCTGCAAGCCTCTTGTGATTATTCTCCCACATTGGTCACACACATGGATGCACGATGTACTCCATTCCCGATACTACTTGACCAGAGTGGTAAACTTTCAATTCAATGGAAGTTGTTTGTGTCTGTTCAAAAAAGCCATCATCCGGTCTCAGTTTTGACATCTTTAATGTTAAGCATTTTGTGTCGTCCTTCTAATTTTGGGAGAAATTCGTTTCCACTGTACTTTTATTCTTCTCCACTCAGTTTTATGATCTTACTAACCCAAGGTGCATTTAAAGTAGGCTAAATATGACCTCTCCAGGATTGGTATGACATTTCGACAAAGTGCCTTCTGCAGGAGGGTCGTATTTGGTCTTGTTGATGTAGATCACAGGATCACTTTTGTTATACCGACTGATTGCCCTCGCAGTTTAATTATTCATTATCTTGATGTGAAGATTGCTGCAAAATTCACACGTCAACCATATCGAAGAGGAGAGGCTGTAGTACCCAGAGGATGCGTTTTGGGAGTACAAATTCTTCTTCATCACTATGAGAATAAGAAACAGCCATTTTCGAAAATATGATTGTTTGATCCACTCATGCTCCAATTCTTGAAAGGCTTGAGTTTAGCTGGGCGTGCGTGTCAGGTGGATGTTACTGATCACTTCAAAGGATTTTATTGCAGAGGGGAGGCGCAACAACAATGCGTCCTCGTCGACTGTCAATCAACGTGATCGACCTCCAATGCTCAGATTTCTCATTATTTCTGCTGTAGTTTTAAACTCCACCCAACCGTTAGCGATTTGGTGCACTTGTGCCATGCGCGCCATGGTGACATCTGTATGACACAAGCCATGTTACATGTCTGTGACTCCACGTCCAGATAATCGACGCGTCACGATGTTTGTTATGCTGGCAGCGAATAGGTTAAAGCTTGTCTGCATTTTCAATGTAAAGCTCATGTACCATCTTTTATTGTAATGCACTTGACAAATGATTTCTGCAGATTCTATGCTAGAGGGTCATCTTGTGCTTTTTTTCCACCAGCTGATCCATGAACATCTGCATTCTCCAAATGGGTTATTTTGAGCATCCTACATTTAGTCACATCTGAATGGATTAACTCCCCTCTTATAACTTCATTTGTCCTTTACTACACTTTTTCATTTTGAATCACAGTATTTTCTGATGAAATCTTGTGAAAGGCTAAAAACATTTGTTAGTCAGTACGGGCATGGTCCAATTAGTTCCATTAGCTTTCAAGACCTTCCTTTCCCACTTGATGTACATGTAAATCAGTTGTTCCATCACTCATTTAAAAATACTACTGAAAGTCAACCTTTATAACTCGATCTGGAATTATAGGGTCAATAACAGCATAGGAATAGACTTCTAAAGTTTATTTGATGCATCCTTGAATAATTGAGCATCCATCCTTCCACCTCGCATCTACCTATCCATCCATTTCTGATTCAGTTATGTATTTCATACCTTTTCCAATTGCTATACGTTAAATTTGATGAGGAGTCTAGTTCTACATTTTTATCAGAATCCTATTAAATCCGATTCCTTTCATCCACCTGTCATGATGAAGCTTCAGGACAGGTGGAATACAGCAAAGAGTTCCACATTGATGTATTGGCGCATTGCCTTATACTTGAAGCTACCTTCGCGTTGTTATCTCTTATCTTATCATTATATGGGTCAGTAATATGATCAATCTATATAAAGGTTTATTTTACCACTCCATTTCTGTGTGACTCACACTTTTTCTGTCATAGGGGGGTCCGATCAAGTATTTTCTTCACCTTTTTCTATTGTTAATAGGAAATGAAGACACGTTTCACTTTCAAATTAAGCCTCATCTTTTATCTATTTAAAAACCCTTAAAATATAACAAGTCTTCTCATCTTTTTTGTGTGAAAGTGCGATGGCTTTCCACATTGACTGCAAGAGTACCTTAAATTTTTAAGAAGTCGCCCACTCCTTCGACGGTAATAAATAATTCAGCAATTTAACAACTTCCTCTTTCGCCATTAATTTCAACTCAAAAGCTTTTAAACAAGAGTGTTCACTCGAACCTCTTCACTCGCTTTGACAAGATGGCGAGTGGATGGTCCTTGCTCCATTCCTACTTCCGAACTTTATTGCATTCAAGCACATCAGGCAACAGGCAATTATTCATCCCCGTAGTGTCATGTGGTTACATTTGCTTGAACACCCTCGAGTTGTTGAAAACATTTTATAGGAGTTATATGTATCAACTTTCAACACACTTCGCAAAAAGTGGGACTTAATGTCAATCCAAAGTGGTCAATCAATTAATTTTCTCCTTCTTCGCCCCCTTTACTTCATTATCAGCAGGGTGTGTACCGTATTTGACGCGAAGAAAGACTCCCGATTATAACTGACCTCTGAATTTTATTTTTAAATATAACCGGAAGAGACACCTAGTACTCTAGCTTGAATGTTACGAGTGCCCTTATGTGATCATTTGCTAAATGTAAGGAATAACGAAAGTGCTAGAAAGTAACTGTCTTTCTCCTTCTCCTTCTGTAGGAACCTAAAACCGAGAAGAAATTCCATGTGGAATTGCACTTCAGTCCTGGAGCGCATGCCCTCTGTCGAGATTTGCCTGCTGGCTCTGGTTTCAGACCCGGTCGACGGGAGGTTAGTCTCCTCTCATTGTTTGGCCTTTTCTTGTATTAAGATATGGTCAAAATTTACCACATGGTGATAATTTTACGTCAAACTGGAGTCTAATTCTCCACCGAAAATTCGTCACTCTACAACTTTCATCACAAAGTGGATGAATTATTTGCGAACTAGGTCTATGCATTCTAGATCTTCAGTTTTGTGTGTCTTTTTCAAAAAAGTCTATCAACTTTGTGAGTTGGCGTAATTTACGGCTGCTGAATAGGGCTGCTTGTTGGGTCACTTGACATTGTCACCCTACAATACCTACGCTCAATTTTTATGTTAGCTTGTTTGATATCAAGAAATCTGACTTTTCAATACTTCGTTTTTATCAAGAAGGTAGTTTTTAAGTTCGAACCTTCGTTCTAGTATCCTCGAAAATTGTGATGTTCAAACGATTTCACTTTTCCTATCACCGTTCCCCAGTGCATCAAAACCGTATTTCTCTCTGCATCATGTTTTGTTAATTTTAATCCTTCAATATCATGGACCAATATAATTGTGGAATAGCAGGGAAATGATTTTGCTCCTCTTGACCAATCACTTTTGAAGGATTCCACATCATTAATCAACTGACCAAAATGGGAGCATTGAGAAATTGGTCTGTGCTACTTTTTCGTGGCAAAAAGAAGGCAATTTGAATGGAGTCTGATATAGATGGCGAAGAGATGTATATTTGCTTTGTGTTCTTCAGCATTAATGCAATCACTACCGGCGTCACGTATATGTGACGGATATGGCTAAGTTCAAACCAGTGAAATACATTCCCGATATTCTGGATTACGTTACATTCTCCTCCAACATCCTGACAAGCGAATGTATTAACTGGTTATTTGTTGGAGATTTCGTGTTTTTAACTGCCGCCCAAGTGATTGTTACTTTAAAGGCCACTTTTAACACACATTTTTCAATTAATTGTCAGTTTTTTTTCGCGTAAAATCAAACCAGCATAGAACCACTTAAACAGAGTCTGTGTAACCTACTAAGAATATTAATCTCCCTCGAAATTAATCACTTTTCCTTTTTCTCTTTCTCCTCCCTCCCTCCCCCCCTCCCTCCCTTTCCTCCATCATTTCTCCTCCTCCCCCTATTTAAAAAAACTTACTGAAATTGCATGTTCTGCTTTGCTTTACTTGATTTAACATCCTCTTTCTCCATTGTTTGTTCAAACATTTGCACTCATACCGCTAACTTCCACGCATGGAACCAGAACGGTTGTTGTTCGCAAACCAGCCTGCTTAGTAGCTCCACCTCCCTTGCTGAGACGAGTTTTGACTCGGCAAGTGAGCATGCCGGTGTCGACGTAACCCCAATCCACTCACCCCCTGCACTCTCCTCTCGCAAAATCGTCTTCTCCGCCCACGATCAGTTCACAGGCAAGGCGACGGTGACCAGCTGTCACAGCCTCTCGATTGATCGTTCACTCCCCTCTGATCTTCAAGAAGTTGGCAGGATTTCTGAACCCCTTGCTACCACTACTACTAACACCACCTCTGCCGTCGGCAAGGTCTCTAGTAAATCGCGCTACGAAAAGCACCGGAAAAGCCAACGATTCTCGCGACAAACCTCTGCCATCTACCGCCCCAAAGAAAGTGTGTCCGGTCTCTGTTACGCCGATGTCGTGAATCAGGATGCGGTGATCGGGCACCGATCAAGAATGCAAGAGTTGTGGCTGGATAACATGCGAAAGGTGCATCGTCGACATCAGATCAACTTCAAACGTGGTTCTGAGCGTTCCGTGAGTACAGGGCCTATGGTAGAGCATGTCGTCACACCATCTCTCCTACAAAGTGAGGGCAACTCGACGTGGCATGAAAAAACTCTTACCACACTGCGCAAACCCCTTCAACGCGCACTTAATTCGGATGGAGGAAATGCTTCTCAGCCTTCATCGAGACCCACCTCAGAGCATTTATCACAGACGCATGGCAGATTCACTGTCACCTCCTCACTAGAGTCTTCGGCAATAAAACCAGCAACTTCTGGAAATCCACAAAGTCTATCGTGGTTCACTGGTTCTGTCGACCTGGATGACGATGGTGTTGCAACAACAGGTGAATCAGAAGTTTCTACATCTCACTCTACGCTTGATCTGGCTGTTGCTACTCCCTTAGCCAGTCAGAAGTCATCGCCGCCACTGAACTCACCACCATCATCAAAAGTAGAAAAATCAAGACACTCTTCGGCAACAACTCCGGGTTCCCCAGTGAAATGGCGCTGTCGGAATGGTATCTCTTCACCCCCTAGTGTCACCACACCCATCTCACGACGTATGAGTTTTGGAGACCAACCACCTGAATTCTGTCCTCTTCAAAAGAAATCTTCTGGTATTGGAGTGGAGAGCGGCGGCGGTGGTAGTAGTGGAAGAGAAGGAGGTGAAGAGGGAGGGGAGGGAGCCGATGAGGCTTCGACGACAGTAACACAGGTCTACACTTCATTGGACTCAGTGAAACCAGATAGGGCACAGGAGTTGTTTAATCACGGCGCGCCGGTGGCCCAGTGGTTGATGGAGTACTTTGATCAAATTGAGAAGGCCAAATGGAGCAAAGTAGAGTCGCAAGGGGATGAAGAAGAGACTGGAGAGGTGGGGGTGGAACGACAGGAGCATCGGGGTTCCCTCAAACCAGCTGACTATAAGCCTATCCTCTCTGCGGCTGACTATCTCAAGGCCGATGCTTGTGCCTCGGCGGTAGGATAGCTGTGGTTTTTACAAACTTCCTTTGGTGCTGCTTCAACTTGAGCAGCTAACACTGATCCTGCTGTGCTTGAAATGCGTGGTTGTATGATTGCTTACATTATTGGTCAAGAATGGTTCGGTATTATTTCTCACCATAGCATGCTTTCAAAGTCGGCTGCATGGAGCAAAATTCTCAAAAAATAATGTTGTGAGGGCTTCGACATAGGTCGTCGAATTCCAGGTGACTGTACTTGCCGTCTTCTTTCAAACACCGACCCAAGTGCTTCTCGTAGTTACTATGCTGTGTCGGCTATTACAACAGTATACGAGTGAATTGAGACCATTCGTGAGAGCAACATGAAGATAATATGCTGAATTGGCATTTCAGCGATTCATAAATAGAGGTTTCATGCATGAGTTTTAGTAAATGATAAACAGTGAGAGGCCAGAATGCCCTGTTTAAATTGAACCAATGCCAGTGCTTCTCTGTACCTCCATTGGAGTGATAATGCGCACATCTATAGTTTTTAGCTTGACTCATCTTTGTATTCCATCGCCCTGCCCTTGCACACCACCTCCAGACGACTGTGCCTGCAGACAGTCAGTTCAAGTGAAGCATATGGAACACATGCTGCCTGTTATTTTGGCTCTTGATTAGCCTGCACAAGCCTCCTGTAGGATCGCTTGCCTGCATAATTCTTCCTATTCTTCTTACAGATTCCAAAGGTACCCTCTTGTCATGCCAATCATCGAGGCTCAAGTAAGCAATTACTACGACGCCTTTTTAGCTTTTATCTGAAATATTTTATGCCACTATGTTACTACGGTTCGATGAATATGATTTGATGTCTGGATTAGTCACTGAAGATAGCATGTCATCAGCTTGACGTCAAAACTTGGAGGACTGGAGGGACTCAATTGGCAGTTTACAAAGTTGAAACAAATATCACATCATTTCCTTTTTTAAACGTTGTCTCAGACACTTGTCTTAGTTGGTTTTCCTCCTCAGTAATCAGGCAGGTTAGACGCGACATCAAAGATGATTTTTCGTCACCGTGGGAACACTTCAAAATACAATGATCATGACTTGTAGGTTTTGTCAACTAACGCTCCAACACATCTCGTAGGTTGATCGTTCTTTATTAAGATATTTGCCGAATAGCCGAGCCACTTAACACGATAAGTAATATAAACCTAGGCGCTGCCCCCCCCCTCCCTCCTCCTCCTCTCTGCTTCATTGGCGTTTCAGTCCTGTTCGCTCTTCTCTTTAAACTATTTTCAGTATTTCATAGCACGGGCACAATGCTCAAATCTTTGAATGGAAGGGCTGGGACATGGAGGCGTCCATTTCTCTGTAACGTTGGTGCAAATTGGGGAGAGTGAGGGGCCCGCGTACTCTTTTCATTAAAATCCAGAACAGCTCCGTAACTGACACCTTTGAATCGTTTGCGTTGGGTCTCATTTCGCTACTTCCTAGAATTGGAATAATGGACAAAAGTCAAACTGATAGTCTACGCTGGGCTCGCCAAAGCTGCCTCTAGTTTGGCGTCCGAATAGACTTACTTACTAGCGTGTGGAAGGACTGGAATAATTAACAGAATCCCAGAGCACTGCGATGGGGATTGGATCATGGAAGACTGTGTAGCTGACAGTACACCAGCACGATTGTAAAAGATGTGGTGCATGATTTCTCGCATCCTTTGTTTGCCTTGCCATTCAGCAGATCAAGTGACACCATCAAAGGGGAAACTAGACGGTCTTCCATCGACTCACATGGAAGATAACCCAATGATGGCGCGGAGGCCTTCGGAAAGTGCAACAGAAGGGAGGGCAGAGGTGGAGGATATGCCAGTCAAGATGAGGAACTCGGTTTCCAAGACACTGCACGTGGAAGCACCATCAGATAATTCGAGGGACGGCTCTACGAACTCCTTGCATCACGACGTCAATGGCCTGGACACGAAGGAGTTAAATGCTCTCACTTACCCGAACTACCAGATGCAAATTGATTTCAAGGGTGAGATTTGCTTCAATCACTACTAATTTGTTGATAGAAATCAACTCAATTTTACTAACGATACTACTGAAATCGCCGATACGGCTAGGTAATAATACCAACAGTAATTCACAAACGTAATTCACTTGCATCTGAATTATCTTAAATATCTGGAATGTATGCTTAAAGTAGTTACCGAAAAGGAAAAATATTGCCTCATTCCAGTTACAACTATGTGCCCTGGCAATTTATGGTGATCAAATGAGTGAATAGAGGGGGCATTAGTGGCCTTTAAAACTGGATCGCTTTCCTGCGCCTATCATTCCAATATCTTCGATGATCTCATTACTCGGAAGGAATCTGTTAATGCGTAAAGACGCGTTGATTTTGACCAAAGTTGAGGCGTTTCTCGCTGAATTAATTGCTCTCTATCTAACTGGGCGAAGCCGTGTCCGATGACCCGCTTCACTTGCTGAAATCAATTCAGTAGCGTGTAGAAGTCATTTTAGTCTTTTCACACCAGTAATTATTCATCTCTTACAGTCCTCCGTTTTCCTTTTAGAACTCCAGCAGTGCCCTCTTGGCAAAGACTCATGTGGTAATTTGTTTATTTCGTTTTAAAATTTTGAATTATGCGTCCATACACTTGAACCTACACCAAATGAATCAAAAGTGTCTTTCCCAGCCTGAACCGCAAAATAGTGGAGAATGCTATCAGAAACACTTTTTTACCAATCCTGTTTTAGAAGTTTGATAATAGGTAGCCTATGCTCGTCCTCCTACCCGAAGCACGTCTCGGTGTCTGTGGTAGATACTGCATGCAAGTGAAATGTGCTTCATGTCACCAAGAGGCGTTTTAGTGAAGGCGTAGGAGGGGAAAACGCTGATACGGTTCCTGGTATTTTTTTATATCAGAACTAAATTCGTTTCAGGGTACCACCTTAACCGCGTATGTGGACACTCTACTATTGTGTCCATTTAAGACTTGGCTCTTTTGTCTCTCAACACCAGGTACAAACTCACCCTGCTGCAGTAGGCGTCACCGCGGGCTCATCAGCACCGCAGTGATTCGTGGATCACGGGACACGTACTCAAGCAGCGTGCCTGACCTCGTCCAGCTGCTTAATTGCTCCGACAGTGATGGCCAATCTCAGACTGAAAGTACGCGTCTTTTCAGAAGTTGTTGGTATTGGTAGTTCAAACAGTCAATGAGTTCTTTTTCCATATTGCGCGCAGCTCCCCAAAATCCAGCAGACCTTATGGTTCCCAGTGCACCAAGTGTCCCGGAGATCTACCCACTGGAGACATTGCACAACGCCATGACTTTGCATCAATTGGAGAGTTTCTTCACCCGCTTGACAACCACTAAATTCCCTTCCCCTTTCACCTCGCCTTGTCTCTCTTCAACTGGGGGTGGTGGTGGAGGGCTCAGCTCTGTCTCGTCCACAGAACAGGTCGGCAAGACAAACTCGGAGGCAACACGCGGTCGATACGCTCTCACCGCAGCCTCCGCGGACATCGAGGCGAGGCGAGATACAGCCTCTTCTTCGTCATCCACGTCCAACACCTCAACGTCTTGTGGTGCTCATACGGGAAACAGGCGGTCCGTTTCGGAGCCAGGAGAGTTCGCAACTGCCGCTCCGACGGTTACAGTGATTAAAGCGGCCAGCTGCCCATCTGAGGAAGGAAATTAGGCCATGCTCTTCTTTTTTAATCTTGTCACCTTTTTTATTGCCCTGTGAATGTGTACGTGTGTATATGTGTGCTTGTGCTTTTATCACAAAAACTGAAAATGCGAAGGGAAGGCTACTTGGGATTTGCATGCAAAGCCTGGCTCGGCTACTTCTTGCGCCTGTCATATAATGAGAAAAGCTCAAAATAAATGTCATTCTTAAGTGAGATGTGTGTGATTGTCTTTCATCCATTTCCTTTATCTGATTCGAAACCGATAAAGGCTTTTTAGTTTATGTGAGCAGGTTCTTGAAGCAGATGATTTGACCATTGGTTGTATGGTTACTGCCTTGAATGTGGACCCGCATAACCTAAAGTTGTGAGAAGTCATAGTAGCCTGGCGAAAAATATTACTAACATGCAGGGCCTGAGGAGCCACTGCCATGGTCCGGAGTCTATGCCGCCTAGTTAAAGTACTATCCGCGAAGGCTTAAGTGCCCAAATTGGACAACCTATCAAAGTTCTGCAGTGTAATAAGTTGATTGTTTTACTCTCAGTTTTGGTAGTGGGCAGGTGAGGGGATCCGCTACAGTAGGTCAGCCGAGTGACATGGGCCCCGGAACACGCCAGTGGTTCCGGGCTCCATTAGGCTTTAAAAAAGCATTTTCTTCTTTGGCATTATGCCTTCCCTCCTCTTCGGAGAGATACGACAGCACAAGCCATTATTCAAGGTTAGGATGCTCAATTACTGTTTCGGTAAATGCTCTGAGTACAGTAACTCACTGCAAGCATTTTTGGTAGAAAATTTGATGTATGTTGTAGCGTCCCGAGACTGCCCTGAAGATGGAATGAGACACAATACTCGGGTAGAATATATATTCAGTACAGAGAAGGTGTTTGGGTTACTGGCATTGTCCTAAGGCCAGCCCACCCAGCGTGGTACAAGAAGGCAAATTCAAAAGTCCAAAAATGGCGTCTCACCACTACCGAGGGATAAACTATCGTCGTATTAAATATTTCTTTTGAAATTCTTATCATTGAGTCAACTAAGCTATGGAATAACTAAACTTAGCTATTCTGCAGAAAAAAGTGGTTGTGCTATATTGCTAATAAGTGTCTTTGGGTAAATTTGAGAATTAAGTGAATCGGCTAAAAATATGTGACAAGATACGTAAGTGAAAAAGTTTCTGCAAATATAGCCCAACAGAATACCTGAAAGCTACTTGTTATATTATTTATTTGATGAAGTCTGAGTCCTCAAACTTATTATATTCGCATATTTGTCCAAAATAATTTCAAGACTAAACAGGCGGCGTTGTTCTCAAAGACTTACAGGTTAATTTAAAACAAAATATAAAGTAATAAGTTAGGTTCTCATCTCTTTCTCCTTAGCCCTATTTCCTTGGAAGTAGAAGCGGATTTCGTAGGGTGTTGCTAGCTCAGGTTGGTAATAACTGTTCCGTAATTAAATTTGTGTTCACTAAACTCTTCTCTCCCGAAGGTTGCATATGGGCAAGCAGGTCCAACAATAAATAAAAAGAGTATTTGTACGGCATTAGAATGATTAGAAAATTCATGCCTTTTTGAGACTTTACAAGCATAACTGCTTTAGCATATTTGGTTTTATTTTGCATTAGGAATATTCGCAATGATGTACGAGTTTTTGGACACGAACTTGTTTTACGAGATTCCTTTTAGACCATTGTTATTGAAACTGAGCGGTGTCAGTTCTGGTCTGCTTACAGAATGACGCACAGCAAAGAGGAGTAAGTTGGGCCTGATTTGACTTGCTTTAGAGATAAGCCTTTTACGTTTGATTTTGCAATCTCTGAGCAAGCAAAAGATTGGCAAGAGCTAGACGCTCAGACACCCTTACATACTGAAGAAAAGCACCAAAGTCTGGGAAAGTCATTCTTTTCAAACACCAACGCGGGGAGCGAGTACTTCAAAGTTGACGACCCTGCCACTGTGAAGAGGAAGTGGCTCGAAGACCGACGATTAGTCAAAGATGCAGTGCGCAGAACGGGGAAGCACTTTCTTTGGGATGTTAATCGCCAGCAAAGGAAATAAACTCCTTGCATGCAACTCCCCATGGACTTTTTGTTCTTCAAGGCCTAGAAATTCCTGCAGCATCCACCTCCCGTACCGTATGGAAGCATGCGCTCCAACACCCAAGCCTCGACGAACTCTACCGACCCAGCGTTCACTCCTTTATCCCAGGCCTCAAGGTTAAGAGCCCAACTACCAAATTCGATTAATTTATTAGCCGATATTTATTTTAGAAATTATGCATACGGGGCTAAAATAAGCCAAGGTCACGATCAAAAATCGAAATCGGGTTTCGTTTGCTGAGGTTGGAAGCGAAACTCATCGGAGTTTTGCTGGCTAGTACTGCTGTCATCAACACCAGTATTAGGTTTCTCAGTGGTCGAATGAGATTGTTCTTCATCCTATAAGTAGAAAATGGTCATATAGGATCAATACAAAAAAGGTAAGAAGTGGGCAGACGACTATGAAATCACCTCGTCGTTGAAGTAGAGGGAAATAAAATTGTATGCCTCCAAGTAGATGTCTTCGTTTTGATGATCTTGCAGCTTTTCGAGAGCACCCAGGGCGCCACAACGTTCAAGAGCTAGGCAACAGTTTTCTAGTTGGTTGTATGCCTCAGCAGTCTAAAATTACGTAAGGAGATTATGATAAATACGAAAGTAGGTGAGATTAAGAACTCCAAATCTCACTAACCTCGAATATCTTTTTAAGCGTGCTGAGCACCTGTTTTATCACTCCAGGGTCCGTCACCGACAGCATCTTACTCAGGGAGTCAAGAACTCCGAGATTCAGCAGGAAGGCCAGTTGTTCGGGTGATCCACCAACTATGATATTGTTTATAACCCAACAAGCTTCCTTTTGAACTTTGAACTCCGCCTGGATGGGATAAAATGAATTACAATGGCCACAATCTCAAACAATTATTGATGACGGCTTACCTCTCGCATAATATCAAGGATTTTCGGGATAAGACCAGCATCAATTACCATCTGAATCTGACGCAAATTGCCTGCAGTAATATTACTGAGCATCCAGCAAGTCTCCTTCACGACATTAGAGCGACTTGAACAGAGAAGTCTGGGAACATACTGTAGCACACCACAATCAATGGTATCCTGGGTTTGCTTGTCAGTGCCGAGGATAAGATTACCAATGGTTCTCAGAGAGGGAGATACAAGGTTGGGCTAAAAGGGGAAGCTGAGACTAGGACTGGATAAGAGAGTGGAACAATACAAGCGATCCCAATGCAGACTCACGAATTCCGAGCCAAGATGACGGACTAAGGTAGAAACGCACCCACTTTTAAGAATCTCATCAATGAAAGCGCCACCACAATCACTGGCGTATGAGAGCGCCCAGGCGGTGTCCACAACGGCCTCTGGGCTGTGCGGATACACCAGAAGCTGTGCAAAAGTAGGAAGGAGTTGCTGTAATGTGGAAAGGGGTGGGTCGGGGTTTTTGTTTCGACAGAGATTGGATAGCATCCAAGCAACATTCGAGACAACGTTAGGAGAGTCCCATGCTCGTTGCAAAAGGCTACAAAATGGCAAACCGAATTCGACTAGAATGTAAGTTGTAAGAACGCCACGCTCTACTCATGGGGATAAAACTTACTCAAGGGATGGCAAAACAACGCCCTTGTGAATGAGCATATCGCGATACATCGTCCCGTCACCGGCAACGTTGCCTAGAGCCCAAATACACTGCTCAGCTACACGGATATCAGAGTGACTTAAAAGACGGATGAGTTTCGGTACAGCACCGGCTTCAACAACTCCCTTTGTATGATGCGAGTCACCGGAAGCAATGTTCGTAAGTGCCCAAGCAGCTTCGAAAATTATTTCATCACTAAAAGGCTACCATATTATGTGGCTTAGCGTACCTGTCAGAATCCAGCAAATTAACAAGAATTTTGTGAGCGCCTCTTTCAAAAAACTCATCAATTGGAGGGTTTCTTAACTTCGACAAGGTTTTGCGACAATTTTGTGTGGCAGTCAACGCAATGTTTACATCCGAGCTCCCCATTTCAGCAACAATTTCCTCGTAGCTAGGTGGTGGCAACCTTTTCTAACAAAAGTTAGAACCGTCTCTGAAAAACATACAGGGTGATTAGTCAATGGCGACGTCTTCTCCATTTCAATCCCAACATTGCGTCTCTTTTGCAGTTGCTGCTCCTTCTTAGCCTTCCGAAGCTCAACAGATTGGTCGGTTCTCCTTCTTCTGAGTTCCTAAAACCAGATAAAATAAAAAAAATCCGCGAACCTCGTTATCTTTTCCCTTATTTTTGTACAACCGTGACCGATACATCCTCAGCAGCAAACTTCGTAACCTGCAATCACTGCACACTTATAAACTGTGACCGATACAAACAAGGTTTAAAAATCATGTGAAATAACAGTGAGAAAAGTGGGATTTAACAGTGCTCAAATCAGTCTACGTAGGTTTAAAGGCGAAATGTCTAGGCTCGTTTTGCAAATGCTAATTAAATTGTAGGCTGCTATGATATTAGTAAACTGGGAAGACTAGATTTATGCAAAAACGTGAATTCTATATTATGTTCACTCTTTGCACTACCTGATAATTGAAATTTTGTAATAAGTATGTTTTTTGGCAGAGTCTTCTTAATACTTTTCGCAGGAGCTGAAGTCAAAATGTGAATGCATGCCATTTTGAAATGTGCGCCCATGATAGGAACAGGGTACGTACTTTGTGGATTAACTCGCATCTAAGTTATATTGTTCGATTTTTTCTACTGCCCTGATTGTGTTTTACGATGGGCTTAACTACCCGGTCACGTCAGTCTATGGGGATTGCACTTCCTCTCTGTGGCATAGCGTTCGGACCCTGTCAGTATTTTTCCGGTTCTCCTGTCCTTTTGTTATTAACATATAACACCTTTGCTCTTCTCTGAAATTGTAACAACCCAAAGTAATTTGGAAGAGCAAATATTACTGACTCCCAGAGAGTTGGGGCTGCTGCCATCATCCGAAACTCATGCTGCAGGGTGGAAGTACAACCTGCGGAGACTGAAGTGCTCTCCCTATTCAATGTGCAATCTTACATCATATTACGTACCATACTTTCATAATACTTTGGTTTGTCAGTGCAGCGGTGCGAGTCTTCGAGGCTACTAACATGATCCAAAGGCCATGCAAAGGTCGGAAGTCCAACCAGCAGAGACTGCAGTGTTTGCGCATTTAAACGGTCAAACGAATTACTAGCTCACTATGCCACGACTTCAGCGAAGACTTGGAGCTCCAGGCTGTTCCCATTAGTATTCAGTCCTAATCATTTGCTTTTCCAATAATCACTACGATTAATGATCATTGAATTTGATTAAAGGGAAGGCCAGCAAACTTATACCCATCTTTCTTTGTGAAGATCATCGAGTAATTCCCACAGAAGTTTGCATTGCTTTGATGCAAATGAAACAAGATGTAATTTAGCAATTTGGCTGCTATCCCCTTTGTCTCTCATTTAGACCCTCAAATAGTAAAGGTTGTGCAGACGAAGATGCTATGTATTGTGGCAATGTGGGATTTTACAAAGCATCAAAGCCTTATGGAGGAACTAGAGTTCTCCTTTGGGATCGATTCTGCCTTCTCAATCATGAGATTGACCCATAAAATCATTCGGATGCGTACGAAATTTTTTTTTTTGAAGGATCAAAGAAATAGTTAGATAGGAAAGCAGTTGTGAAGCAGATAGGCACCAAGTGTCGGCATCTACTTAAAATGCAAATTTTACCGCCTCCATTTACCTGTTTGCTTCCACTCTTGGCTCTGACTTAGCCTACATTAGAAACCCATTAAACTTTGAACTACAGTTTGGTACGGTAGTGCATTAAAGGTCACAGTGTAATTTTTCATCGGGGTAGGATGATACCCAAATCAATGACTTCATTACCTGGACCCCTTAGGTTCTACCTACCATGCCTTCTTTCTGAACTCTGTAATGTTCAAGTAGGAATGGCGATGATGAAACAGTAAATTCGTTAACTTAAAATTTAGTACCCATTTCTACTCGTTAATTTATTGCCCTTTAAGGCGATCTGGCGGTTCATCTGAGATGCTCTTGAGTCCTCAAGAGCGTTGGTATCACCTGACAGTACGACACTCGTAAGTTATAGATTCTAAACAGTCATTCAAATTTATTTACATTCTTTTAAAACCAGTTTCACTTTATCATTAGCCACTGTGCAGAAGTGGAGATTAAGCTAACTGTAAAAATTCAACCTTTCTGCTGTGAATCTCTGCACCTTTCACCTAATAACAACAGATGGAATCTTTTTGGGACTTTACGGTGTAATATTCAGCCATTGATGTCAAAACTGTTTTTTTAACTTGAGCCAATCTTGCTTGTCGCTGCGAAAATTGTGGCGTTTGGGGCGTATCAGTCTGGGTGTAGATTTTATTTTCGACAATTAGATGTCTGGCAGACAATAACACTCAAAGTGGTTTCCGATCCACGAAGAAACACAAGAACAAGGTCCTAAAGCACATCAGTTTGCGTAGACTTGATTTATGTAGAGACCAATGCCCTACTCCACGTCTTATTTACGCTAGGTCATGAGTTTAGTTGTCAAATCGAAAGCAGGTCAAACTTATGGCCAATACGGAGGTCGAGAATTCAGTCTACAGTATTGTAGTTTTCTTCACTTGAGGAGCGCACTAAATACTATGTTCAATCTTTTACTAAACAGGCTCGTGAAGAAAACTTATGTTAACAAAAATATTTATTTAACTGTATAAGGTCTTTAGTCTAAGCCGATTTCACTACCTTTGCGGCCTCCTCGTCCTTCGGTACTCAAAAAGCACGCCTTTTTAAGGCTTCAAGGATGACTCGGGAAGCCAAAAGTAAAATAATCTTGTAAACCTAAACCCTGCTTTTTCTTGAGGTATCGTATCAACCCATAAGCTCTTTTACTCACATAGATGGCTGTTCTCGAGACAGTTGAAGCCCATGTCTCCTCCATGCGACATCACATTAATTTGCGTATCATATTAATCAGTCCTAATGTCAGACTTTTCCAATGACTTATCTAAAAAAGGTAACCGTAGCAGAGGAGCAGTTAAATGCCGAAGTTCTTCACCCTCCCTCCATGGTTTTGCAGTTCCCCTATGTCATAACATTTAAATTCGCCATGTCTACAGCACACCTGGCAATAATAAGTCTTTTTGGTTGATATGCCTTTCGACTTCTTCGGAGGCGATTTCAGATGTTACGAAATCATCATAAAATATGAGCTGACAATGGATACTTGTTTTTTTTATTATAAAAAATGGTTATGCGATTTGTGGTGGGAAGGAGTTGACTTCGCTAGTCATCGCCCAACTTGCCGCATTTATCTGTGCATATAATGAGAGTGTAAACAACATCTTTGTGCATTTAAAGATAGAAGGTTGGCAGGACGGTTTCCCCAAGTAAACATTTGCTTTAAATGTTTATGTAATCTTCATTAATTAATTTTAAGCACACGCTCCTTTAAAAGTGACGGGTGACTGGTGTTTCGCGAAAAACTAAATAATTTTTAAGTTAAATGTCACCTTTCTTTGACTGATGTCATTTGGAGAATTTACTGCGAATTTTCCCTTGTGAAGTCAAATATTTCACTATTCTACGTGTAAACCATCAAAGGAGATGGTTGAAGCCAAATATGCATTGTTTAAACTGCCTCAAACACAACTTCATTTACTCCAATGTATTTACCTAGCTGGACTCTCCAATCTCTGTGGTTAGGCCCTCATCTTTGTACCATATGCTGTTTCATTTCGTCTCTTAGCCAAGCGAATAGATCAACTACCCTCTTTCATGTATGAAGACTTTACTAATAAGCAGCAATTTTATACCTCAGTGTACACAAATATTTTTAAATGAACTGATGGACTAAAACTATTAACATGAACCCGATTAGTGTTGATATAAAGAATTTGAAGCCCTTCTAGAATGAGATATGACCTCTTCCAAAAATAAGGCACATTGTTTTGTTAATGACAGAGTTGCTAAAATCTACAGCGAACTTCTTCTGAAAAAATGCTCTTATAAGAGGGGCATTCGCCAGTCACTCGGCATAGCCTAAACCAGTGCTGGTGGCCTAGGGAATTAAAAATCGTGAAGGAGAGGAATCTTCCTTTGTACGGTGGATTAATCACACGTAAACACACTTTGATGACCTTTAGATTGGAAGATGCTGTTGGGATGCCATCAGCAGACGTGGGTTAGAGAGCCAAGGCAAAGAAGGCAGAGAGGCGGCGTTAGAATCCAACTGCTAGTCATGAATCATACTGGCCTGACCTCTTATTAGCCTTTCACTCTCTCCCGTTCCCTTAGCTTAAACTGGACGAGATTTACCTACTAACATGTTACCACTTGTTTTCCTGGTCTTCTGTTATGCGATGTTATTTGTTTTGTGTAACTATTTTGCCTTTTAAGTGTTAATAAATTTAGAGGGATAACCTCAAAAAATGAATTTTGCAGAGGGATGACAGGTAGGTGTGGAAGCCATAACAACGAAATTAGGAGATACTGTGCCGAGCTAATGTCTTGCCTGCAAGCAATCAATCCACATTGCATTTTAAGCAATGAGCATTAGGTTAGCGCACTTTAACAAGTTTATTACCACTGTCGCATATAAGTGACACAAATTTTTTAGAGTTTTGTAGCATAGGACGGGAGATAACGTAGTCTCTAAGGCAAACGGTTTAGCTTCTATTCAGTTTTGTCACTAGGCTATCATCCAGAGCTGCCCAGCCATGTCTGTGTGGGTTCTATTTAACCAGGAAAGAAGTGAAGGAGGTATAGCGTTTTCACATATTTGACATCTTTATACGAGTAGGGTAGGCAGCTCCGTGACAAACGTATTCGCGTGGTTCAAGGCTAGTGTCACTTCCGTTGTCAATAGCATTCCTGTGGACCACGCTAGTAGAATAGCTACTGAAGGTGGACGTCGTTTTCAGACCTTTTGCTAAGGACTGTCACAGGTTCTTCCGTTTACAGTAACATTCACCTTCTTCCATCATGCTAAGCTTTATCTACCAGTAGTAGAAATCAGGATAGACATCCTTTAAGACAGAGTTCGCTTTCTGATGTCACCAATATATCGCTTCGAGGCCTCCCTCAACACAAAGGAAGGCATAGTACTCGGCCTACTAGCATGGCCAGGAGGTCTACCGGGGAGGGTACAATGGGGGAACACTTAAGTGGCTCCTCTACTAAAACTGCGAGCAGAACAAACAACCAAAGTATTATGCTACGAGCTTAAAGCTGACGACATGGAGACCTCTTCCGTTCTTATTAATAACGTTACTTTCGGACTTGGAGGCCTTTGTCGTAAAAGAGGGTGTTAAATTGAATGCACACAAATCGGTACAGATGTGGGTATTTCCACAGGCTCTATCATCCATTTATTTCGTCCCACCGTTTACTGGCAATAAATTGCTCTTCCACATGGGTGGTTCAGGATAAACCAAACTGTCGAGTCTTCAGGAGAAATTTACGCACTACATTGGTGTAAAGTGCAGTGGAAAGTGGCAGATATATTTTATCCCAAGTATTGGGGAGTCCAATGAAGCCCTACTTCCAAACAAACAAATCGACTACTATGTGAACCAAAAAAGAGAACGTAGTATTTAGTGGATGATTGATTTCATCCGATAAAGGCGTACAGCAGAGGCTGAAGGAAGGTACCCGAAAGTGGGACCTACGTTTGCACTACCGTGGATGATATCTCCCATGAAACGAGTTTCTCCTAGAGATGAGCAGTTCTTCTAACACTGACCGGCAAATCACGGGGTACATCATTAATCCAAGTGGGTAAGAGAGAGTGGAATACTCGAAGGAAGTCGAAGTTTGAGAGTTACACTCCTCATTAAATTCAGCAATCTTCCCCTTGTGATGTGAAACTATTTGATTGGTAGGTAATAGCTATGAATATCAGGAATGCTACTGACAACCAGATGAAGTTATGCACATTAAATATATCAGGCGGAAGAGGCGTTTTCGGTAGAGCTCCATGCAATGACTATGAATAGCACCTGTCATACGCATGCAGTCGTTTATCTGCATGCATTATAAAGCACGGCTACGCGTCAGTTTGTTGGTACGGTACCACTCATCATTGTCCTCCATTATTTGCCTCTTCCTCACTGCTCTCCCCATCATAAACTATCAGTCGAGTTCATGCTAGTAAATGTGGTTCATACCAGCCCACCGCAAAAATCGGGTTTGAATTAGAGTTTAAGTCATTTCCAGCGATGTGTAGAAGCTGGCCTCTATTACGGCCTGTTGTGGAAGGGTGGGTTGGTAGACAGAAAAACATTCTGACTAAGCCCAAAAAATAAACTACTGGAAGATAGATGCATTAGGTTTGATCGGAGAGGAAGTAGCCTCTACTCCTTTTGATAATGAGGGATGACCTGCTAGTGTTGATACGGTATTTTCTTCATTCATATAGTAAGATTTGTGGAATAGAGCACCTTTAAAGGTAAAATCCTTAAATGTCACGCATATGTGACGCTGCTTGATGCACAAATAAGGCTGTTCAACATTCAGGAGTGCAAAATGCCAAGCACACCTGTACTTTCGCCATCCGACTGCACACTATGACGTCGCTGCTCATTCAATGGCGTTTGTAGGACACCACACACGCCAGGAAGAAAGG